TGGATTTAATATAAGTGAAACATCTGATGTTAACTATTCACAGTATTCCTGTAATTGCTTTCCACAAATGAAACAAGCAAATAATGCCGTCTCTCTATTTGTAATTGTCTTCTATCTCTAATCCCCTCCAGGACAGAGCCCTTCAATGCCTAAAAATCGAATTAATCTCCAGCCACAACAAACCAATTATCCTAATTTTTTTCAGACAAATACAAAATGTGTTGGACAATGTGGGATGTAATAGGAATCAAAGTTGGTTCTGTGATCATGGCCCCGCTTGTCTTTGTGCTCTGACTGTGACTTTTTTCTGTTGTATTTCTTAGTGTTATATTTATTCTCTTTTGTGTCAGATAGTATTTAGTTAACCAAAACCCTTTGGTTTGTTTTTTATTTAACAGCTCAGCAGAATTATAGTTATGCTTTTTCCCTTTTGAATAGACAATGAAATTATTTAGTTTCTAACAGCACATTTGCTCTTCCCATTTCAGGTCTCCTAATCACTATTCTGTGACAGTAACAGTCTGTTGATTAAAGCTGTGGCAAAAGTGGACAAAACATCCCAGCAAACCCTGAATGATCTGACTTTGTATGGCCTCACGTCATAAATAGATAAATTGATTCAATCATTTATTGAAATGCTACAGTAAATTAAAATGTTGGGATGACCTAAGGCTTGTCTGGAGTCTCATGATTTAGCCAACTGCTTCTTGTATGTATTCACCTGGATACCACACAAATCCAAGAGTTAAATATCACTAAGTACCTTTTATCAAAATTCACATTAAGATTCTAAATGACTCTTACTAAATGGACAGTCCATCATTAAACCACTTTGTTTGTAGAATTGAATATTTATCATTCATGCTGAGTTATTATAGTTAGAATTAACTGTATTTTTGGATTAGCTGCTCATCAGTCATGCATGCATAATGTGAAGATTTAATTTAGATGTTGGTGTGGTGGAGAGAACTCCGATAACTCATTCTCTCAGGGCCTCACAAAGTTGTTGCCCACATGCTGAGAGCTCGCTGGTTGTTTTTCTCTCCTTCAGCAGACAAACCATCTCTCTTGTATTGAAGCATGGTGATTTCGGAGGCCGGGTCATTTGATATGACACTCAAAACCACCTTTCTTGGCGCAACAGATGCTACGAAAGCTGGAGTCGTGTTTAGGCTCCTGCTGGGCACAAACCACGATGGGATGGTTTGATCGTCGCTGCTGAATTTTATGGCTGGCACTCTGTTGAGGGGTCGCCTTGAATTGAGAATTAATGGCTGACTGCGGTACTAAAAAGAAAAGAAAAAACACAAACAAACCCCCAGCTATCACACATCCTGCATTCTTCAAAGTGGGAATTAAGCATGGCGTTATCCATTAACCTTCAATGCACTGATGATATTGTTCAGTTTAATGTGTATTCTTAGATTTTCTGACTCTAAGCCGCTTTCTTGTTTTTATGCCCCCCTTCAGAAGTGAATTCTCTGCAGAGATTTGAACATCAAGGTCTAATTCTCAGCAGTTGGTGTTGTTAGATGTTTTCTTCTTGAAAGTCACGAAATGGGTTCTAATTTGAGATGCTGTTAAGGCTGTTCAGTAGCAGGGGCCCTTCGGCCCATACGGGCAGCACTGTTTCTCACAGGTTTGTGAAACCATCAACATATTCATTTTTCTATTCTTCTATATTCTATATTTCTATATTTATTCTTCTATTCTATTTCGGTCATGTGAACGCTGATGTCAGTAAAGATTTACAACTCTAACTTTAGTTTGGAAGAAAAATATGTCATATTTGAAGTGATGTGTTCTCAGAACACAAGCCCGCTCTCTAAGTTTGCTCTAGTAATGCTCAGGAAATTGAATCTTTGGCTTCCTGTTCTTCTCCTCTCTTTTCTTGTGGCATGGCTGGTTGCTCATTATTTATTCTGCTGGCTTGTTCAGTTGATCATTGTTGGAAACTCTGCCTCACAAACAAACCTTTGGAAAAACACAATTTGTTCTCCCTCAGTGACCATTTCCAAGTCTTAATCATTGTCCTCCATATTCAAAACACAGAGTTATTTTGAGCTCCTTCTTCTATGAATCTGAGGTGAAGGTAACTGAAAAATCTACCTGTGCTTGAAAGGCCTCTCCCTCTACACACAACCCTTTTCAACATTGGTACAAAAAGAAAATACTGCAGTAATTAATGTGAAACAAGTTATTCAACCCCAACCCTCAACCTAGACCTTTCCTGGTTGCTGGTGTCTAGTCTTAACTTGCTTGCTCCTCTTTCATCTATATATCATACCGCAGCCAAATTAGCTTCACAGCCACGTTACACAAGCTGGCGGGATCCGTTGGCCCCGGTTCCTCTAAACATGCAGAACATACAGAACATACAGGCTGTCTGATCAATCCAGTTTTAGACTTTCGGTGGTGCTTTGTACATTCAAAGCAAAAAAACCCTCGTCCATGACACCGATGAGCAATCAGATGCATGACGTGTCTGGTAACTGAAGGAGTGAATCAATATCATATACACACCGCGTTCTGCCCATAGAGACTGAGGTCAGTGTGTTTGCTGTAGCTGAACAACAGAAGAGGATTCAGACACAACGGAAACAAGTCAAGGATGTTTTTGACAATGTGTGAAAAAATTCTATCAAGAGACATGGAAGGGCTCCAACCATCTACTGTGTTTGAGAATCTTTGGATGCTTTTGTAACATGTATCTCGGATGAATTCATTCAGAAAATTCCTCTGAAAGGCTGCAAAATTGAGTCACTCGCGTTCTTTCTCCGCACGACATCGGTGACCCAGACGGAGAATTACACCTCAGGAACTCTGATCAGCGAGGGCTCTGTGTCCCAGGTGGCAGAGATTAGTAGTCAGAGCCGAAAAAAAGTAGGGTGATTTCTCCTAAGCGTTTTAAAGGGCTGATATTTGCTGCAAATTCTCAGTGCGATGCCTTCAGGGGTTACTTTGAACGAAGAACACCACAGAAAATTCTGTAGGTGGGCTTGCCATTGGAGTCTCTTTATTTCCCTTTTTGAAATAATTCAGAAAATGTGTAAAATATATATTGGGCAAAAACGGGCTTCTTTTTTACGTGATGGGGAGGCAGGTGGCTGTGGACGGAGCCAGAAGTGCTGCTGTGAAATGAGCTCCCTGTGTATCGTAAGTTAAGTACAAGCCCCAGCAGGTTGTGTTTATGTAATGTTGTTCTGTATTTAGAAGACAGCGACCTCATGACCTGGTATTAAGGTTACCCTCATTAGCAATTAAGGTGTAGTCAAAGTCCATAAATCAACATCTCATGGTGTGGTGTCCATGCCAAAGGCCAGCCTCACAGGGGTCAACCTGCACGCCGTGTTTCTCAGCTGAATTTGATTGAAAATTACTCAGACTCATGGAAATAAGCAAGAAACTACATATGATGTAGCGGATAAACTAAGTTATCTGTACAATGTATTTTAGGCTAATTTTTGTCCAATCCCCAACACAGTGGCTATAATCAATAGAAAAAGTATTTTAAATGTGACCTGTTTTCACCATTCAGTCTCTTTTCAGTTCGTTTTACCATGTGAAATTGAGAAAAGTGATAAAAAATAAATTAGTTTGAACAGATAATTGCCAGCGAAAAGACACATTTGGGTCATTTTGGGTGAGAGCAGCAAAGTAGATTGAACTCATTGAGAGAATTCTATTTTTTCTCTTTCTAAGATCATTTCAAGGCCCAAATCATGAGGCAGTAAAAATTACTTTAGAGCATGATGAAATATGCAAGTTAAACTCAAACAAACTGAGAGACAAGAGAAATAAGCCGTATCGTCATTTGGGTTTCAAACAGAACTCCCAGTTGAATAGGAAAAATAAATGAGGCGTTTTTTAGGTCTCTTCAGATTTTGTTATTCCCCTACTGAGTAAAATACCATTTTCATAATTATTTTTTCATTCGAGAACTGTTATACAAACAGAACTTTTATGTGTTCATTTAATTTTGATTTGTTTCATTTCACTATCTGTCTCTCTATCCTTTTACTCTCACTTCTAAAGTTTGGGATAAATATTTAAGAATAGCTTGGTTTGTTTCATTTTTTAGCTGGGAAAATAAAATCCTCACGCATCATTTCCTTTTGCTGCAGCTATTAAATAGTCACAGCTTAAAGAAACACATTAACTTCAACTCTGGTATTTTGTTTGATTTAGGCACGTTAACCACCAGGTTGGGTTGAATGACCAAAATCTGATTAGTTTGATCACATTTAGTTTATAGATCTAATTTTCTTGCTTAGAGTTCTGGATCCAGTTCAACTCCAGCTACAAAAGACACAAACATGGTCCAAACAGAAGAGAAAACTCCAATGGATACACATGGAAAACTGTACACAACTTAAGTGCATAGTCAAGGTTATTTTCATTTCATGCCTTTTTCATTCTCTGTCAATGACAGTAAGAACTTTGACAGTACTTGTAAATGGGGTTTTACACATCATTTGGATCTCAGAGTTCATATATATGCACCAAGTTGATGTTTTATTAAACATTTTGTAGGATATCAGCCTTAAAAAAAACAACCAACAAGCAAAAGAAAAGTTCAAGTTATTCGTTATCGACAAGCTAAAATGTAAATGAGTGTAAAATTGAAATACATTTAAAAAGCAGAGTGTAATTCACAGGTAAAAGTGCTGTTTCTTAAAAGGTGATCTTTGTTTCTCTGTCAGTTCTCATCAAACCGTTTGGGTTAAACAGCACCATTCCTAAAAATAAACATTGCAGGAGAAAACTCAAAGGTGTTTTATCAAGCTTGTCAGAATCTGACACCATCGTCAAAAAAATATGAGAGGAAATAAGTTACAAGTCATTGACTTCTGGCTCCCCACACTGAGATCAATGGCTCATATACCCTGTGCGTCAACGAAGCTGGGGACCATCGAATGTCTGGGGTTGGGAGGGAAATAGCTGCTGTCACTTCAGCCTGGACATCTGGGGGGTTTTCAGAAAAGCTGTGGATGCGCTAAATGGGGGAGAAGCCTGCGCTGCGGTGGCGAGTGGAAGAGTGTCCGTGGCTGTGTTTCCTCTGCGTCCTGCGGTGCAGGCTGCGCTCCGAGCTCCACCGACGGGAGCGCACACATCTGAGGACGGAAAAAAAACCCCAGTGAGCTCTCTCAAGAACAAGTCTCTCCGAAAGACCCGGTTAGAAAAATAGCGCAGAGCAATTGCGAGAGCAACTTTGCCGCTGTCTTTTTTTTTCTTCTTTCTTTTCCGTTCTTGGCGCAGATCCTCAGTCAGCATCTGGCAGCCTCCTTAACATCTTGACGCCTTCGGCATCAGCATCAGAGATGATCCACATGTACGGTCAGTAAACAATAACGTAAATGTAAAATTGTTTGCTTTCTCAGAGGGATTGTTAATTATTGATATATTCCTTACAACAATTTTACAAACAGAAATGTCTGTCAGCCACTATAAGATGTATTTCTAAAGATGTGCTTGATTTAAAAAAAAGGAAAGAAATTGACCCCCCCTCCATATTAATGATTAACACAAACCTTGCAGAATAGGGATAAAAGCATGTGATGTGCTCTTCTCTGAGAGGAATTATGGAAAAATAATACCACACATCCGTGTTCATGAATGACAGTGAAGTTATTTGTTGTTCCTTCCTTTGATCCTTGTTTCAGTGGTCTTTTATATTCATACAAAATTAAAAAGAATAAGGATGCTTTTGTTTGTTTGTTTTTGTTCTCATCATAGGCTGCTTCAGAGCTGTGAATAAAACTGCGTTTGAAGTCATTCTAACATGTAATGTTTCTTTAAACAGATCCGATCCTATCGCAGTGATGGATTAAAGGTGTGAAGACTAAAAGGCATTGTGGAGATATCAATATGGTTTACCTTTCTCGAAGGTGAGAAAGTCTATCAATCTCTGGTGGTGGATTATCAGGTGGAAACAGCCACCCCCTCAAGGAATGATAATACACACGTTTCATAAGAAGCGCACTGGGACCCGAGCTGAGCAGCAACATGACTCCAGCTGAATCAGAGGATGTGTCTTAACATGGGGAGCCAAGTCATTTTTTAATCCACTCAGACGGACCTCAAACCCACACGACTGGGATGGAGAACCTGTTGTCATCTCTTTGGTGAAGATCTTGTGACTTTTTATGGATGATCTTTCCTAGGAGAATTTTAACAAGGACCAAGGGCGACCTGTAGTCAGTTTTCCATACTTTCATTGCCCACCCCTTTTGATGTATTTTTTCCTTTTTTTATTCTTTTGCTGGGAAGGGGAATGGATCGGCAGCAGGAACATCTGTCAAGTTGGAGCCCTGCTGAGCTCAGCTTCTCCTCATTGCCGCAGGAAAACCTCAGCCACGCCTATCACTTCCACAGCAATCAAATGCTAACTTCCACTTTCAGCTCCTCTGCCGTTCCTCTCCATCAGCCTCTGTCCTCACCCCTGCCCTCCTCTCTTGTTCCACATCCGTCCCTTATTCCCTTCCCTGAGCTTCCCACGACCTCCTCAGCCATGAAGGTGCCATCCATTTCCTCCTTTCCCTTGTCCCCCTCCAACGTCTCGGGGAATGATTTGACAGACCTGGAAAGTCTGCTGCTCTGGACCCTGCATGAGCCCAGCACCATCGCTCTGACCATCATGTACTGTCTGTCTTTCATCCTGGGATTTATGGGGAATCTAATGTCCCTGAGGGTCCTGACCAGCAGGCGCAGTCGGCGACTGGCTGGTGTGAGCGCTACTCGCAGTCTCCTGGTCAACCTGGCAGTGTGTGACCTGGCCGTGGTCTGCGTGTGCATGCCCATCACTCTGGGAAATCAGATCTACACCGCATGGGTGTACGGCGACCTGTTGTGCCGAGCTGTGCCCTTCACGCAGGCTGTTTCGGTGTCGGCCAGCGTGCTGACGTTGACGGTGATCAGTGTGAATCGTTACTACAGCGTGCGATCCCCGCTAAGAGCCCGCTCCATGTTTACCCGGCAACGGATCTTGGCAACTGTTGCTGTAGTGTGGACCGTGTCCTCTGCGATGTGTGCTCCCATCGCAGTGATGAACCGGAGGCGAGAGATCAGCTTTGAGACTTTTACTATCTTGATCTGTCAGGAGGAGTGGCCCCAACATCGGCTTAAGCAGGGGTAGGTAGCATGAGTTCAATCGCGTTGTGTGACTCTTGTACCAAATAACTAATTTGTACTACACGATTTATTTAGGTGGATGAAACACAGCTTAAAGTTCCTGTTAAACTGGACTAAAGCTAAGCTGCTGAGATGTAATTGAGAGTGAACATCTATCACCACTAATTTTTTTCTACTGTCCAGTTTGGGTTTTCAGTAAATGCCTCTTACATTTTGAATGAGATTACTGTATTGATTGAGGCCTTTAAAGTAGCTCCCTGAATGAGTGTTCTGGCTGGTCGTTGTATAACTTTTATCTGTAATCTTTGCAGTGTATTTGTGAATTACCTTCACTTAGCAACATGGGGCACGTCCCAGGTTCTTTAGATTCTCCTTATTTGTCATTGACAGAGTACTTTACACTATCTTGAATTGAGGATTCTCTTTCCTAACATGCAATTATGGCTTCATTGTCTGTCAGTCACTGGGCAGCTATGCGCAAAGCACTCAAAGCACTCTTCTCTAAAATGGTTTCTTAGACTCTATATGCATACTGTTCACCATTAATCCCTCCTATCAGAAAAGAAGAAAAACAAATCCCTTTAAGAGTGGCCCATTATGGCCCTAATAAAACACTTAGGATGCTCTGCACAATTCACAGTATAACCTGTTTTTAATCACAACACTGGTCCACCAGTGTAAAAAAGGTCAAGAATTCCTATTTTCACCAAATACATAAATTCATTAAATCATTCAGAATGTTTAACTTGCTGTCTTCTATGTAGTACATAGTCAAATAACAATTCTACTCAAGGCACTGTGTGATGCATTTATTGAAAAACTCGACAATTCCCCAGGAAGTAAAAAAGGTTTCCTTTTACCACAACATGTTAAGTACAGGGCAGTGCTAGAGAGACAGAACCGAAAGACACACAAAGGCACTTTCAGAGCAGGAAAGCTCAAGGGGAAAGCCTGAGTTGAATATGGAGTTCTTTTTGAAAATGACATACCTTCAAGGGATTTTTAATGCTTACATTTACAGTGAAGAAAGGAAAGCTGAGACTGCACAATCGCTGCCAGTCACCGTTCACCTGTTGTCTGTTACTGACAGCTTCTTTTGTACTGTCAGCATACTGAGATGAAGCTCAGAGTTCTCAGAACTCCATGGAGCTAAACCCTGAGTCCACAAACGATGGGAAGTTTTCCTAAATGCAACAAATGTCAAATCTGTCATTTGTTTGAATTGTGTTAAAAAGACAAATACTGTGGGTTGAATTCAGACAACTTGGAAAGTGGTCTTGGTCAGATGAGTCCATGGTCAGATGAAAATGGACAATCGGCTCAAAGTACCAAACATGATGGATACTATTGAAATAGTTTGTTCAACAAAAAGAGCTAAAACCACTGTAATACTAAGCCACAGCAGACAAGAGTAGCTTTGTGTTGTTCAGGTTCTAATGTATTGTTGAATTACAGATGTATCTGTTTCTGTTTCGAAAACTGAAAAAAAAAATGTTATGAAAAAATGCTCCAGCACAAGTGCCAGCATGGACAGATCAAACATGAGATACCTGCACGAAGATGATTCCTTGTGTCCTGGAAAGAAAAACATTTAGACCTATGCTGTATTGATTACTAGAGGAGAGCATGGTCCTGACACAGTGCCCTGTGGAACTCCCTGACTAACGTTAGTGCAGGAAAGTACAGATGTTTCTCCCTCAAATAGAGTTTATGGAATGAACCTGACTTACACCAGCCTATGGCTCCTTATCACAATGAAAAATCTAATTTGAACAGCTTTACCTTTGTAAAAGAGAGTAGACTTGGTGACTCATTTTTAACTTCTGACTTTTCTTCCACAGATACAATGTGCTATTGTTTGTGATGCTCTACTGTTTGCCAGTGACGTTTAACCTCACCATCAGCTTTCTGACTGGAAGGAAGCTATGGGGGGGGAAGAAATCCAGTTTTTCTGATCTTGATCCACGCAGTCAAGCTCTTCACACCTCACGCCTGAAGACAAGGCAGAAAATTGCCAAGATGGTGGTATGTCTAGTTCTCCTGTTTGCAGTGTCCTGGCTGCCACTCTATCTAGCTGACCTTTGGATTGATTGTGAACAAAGGCCACCATCTTGGCTGTTGCAAACACGACCCTTTGCTCAGTGGCTGGGCCTGACAAACTCCAGCCTTAACCCCATCTGTTATTGTTTCATTGGTGATCTATATCGCTCGGCAAAGGTCATACGGACGCGATACTATCAGAAAGTTTCTGCTCTCTTCAGCACTGCCTCCTTCTCCAGCACAGCTGCAGCGGCATCTCCTGCTGCCGTGATTACAGACTCCAAGGTGACTCCAGCTGAGCGCCACCATATCGCAGCTGCTGTGGCAGCTTCTGCATCCATGGCTACAATCCCCAGACTGCTAAACTTAGCGAGAGGCCAAGGACTGGGGCAGAAGGTTAGGGACATTTCCGACAGCCGAGCTGGATCAGACCACAGTCTTTCCGACTGGTTTCGGTCCAGCCCCAGTCTTTATGACAATTCTCTGTTCCCCTGTCAGATTCACGTACTCCAGCACATACAAAAGCCAGAGTTAACGCCGGCAAGAAGACACTCTGCAAATGAGATTGCTCTAACATTTCCTCTACAGACTGAACCCGTGGAAATGGACGCGCTACTTTTGAGGAGACATTCGGGGGGCAGAGTATATGGTCTGCCCACAGATAAGAGAAACGCCAATGCCATTGGTAGAGACGCATTCTGTTCCACTAAGAAATGCCGAGGCAAAACGTCGCAAAACTATTCACTGGAAGAAAACAGGGAGGATGAAGCAACAAATATGACCAGCCTATAAAGCTGCAGATAATTGAATGTATCAGCAGGGTGGATTTTTATTTTCTTGTTTTCCTGCGGGGAGTGAAAACACACGGCTCCTGATTCACAGTTTGGATTAATCCTCCAGCAGAACCAACTGTTTGTCTTGTGGATAAGCTGACCTGGTCTACACTCTGCATGCAGTGTTTGGTCAGTATTTCTAGTTTTTGAGAGGAAATGGAGGAAACAATGATGGAGTGAACCCCACAGGGAAACAGCTGGATTGTTGTTTTAGCTAGTTATCACTAAGAGGGACAAATTGTAGCAGTGTGTCATAACATCTAAGTCACATCATAGTCACAGCAATTCCAGTCATCTGCCTAACAAAAAGCCAGCAGGACGTTAAGTTTAATGAGTTGTGCAGATTATCAATCTGGATATCTTATTGCTTTGCAAATGCTTTTGATTGTATTGTTTGCTCACTGAAATGGGAAACCTTTTGTGATGGAGCAAAAAAGGAACAACTACTATGTTAGTGACAGGTATTCACTGTCTGAAAACAACAACAACAAAAGCAGGCATAAATAAAAAGGCTCTTTTACACTATTAACTTAAACAGGCCCAGGTGTCCAGGAGCAATGATGTGAACGGTGTTTGTGACTTTAAGAACACTTTTTCCATTTAGTTTTCATTGAATGTAATCCTCGAAAAGGAGCATGTAAATGCAGTATATCTTCATCAGTAAAATGAAAGCAGGAACATGGCGTAGATGAGCACGTTTGAAATAATACCTTGATTTAATTGGGTTTTTCTGAATATTGAGATTAAAGGATAAAGATCTGCAAAGGAGGGCAGAGTATTTTTAGGAATAAACCTACTCAGAGGGTTTGCTGAGATTTTTAAAAACAGCAAAAGGATTTCTATTAAGAATGTGTAAATAACTCAACTTTTTAAAAATAATCAATGCTCAAGGCCCTTTCTTACTTTGCAAATCTTTGAATTTAGTCTAAGGTGATTTGAAGCCAAGTGAGGACTTGCTTTTGTAGGTGTGTGAGTGTGTGTGTATGGACGCGTGTGCAGTGCAATAAAATAAAAAGCCTCAATAAAGGGGAACATTTGCATTTGGTCAAAATGAAAAGACAAACAACAATCAGGACATGGTTGATGAACTGCTCCTGGGGGGTACTGGCTGAAGAAATCAAGTACCGATAACTTGGACTTATTACCAAAGAACAGTGTCTAACCATATAGAAAAGTGTGACAGCTACTGTATAATAGTTTACAGCTGACAAAGATTTTGTTTTTAGGGTTGGAGCATATTTTGTGATAATGTCTTTTTCTCTATTGCTCTTTACTGGCATGCATTCATTTGATGTACATCAAGGTTCTAACAGCAAAGAAATAGAACCCTGTCATATTTGTATTGGTTTATCATAATTATTCCTGTTTTTATGCTGTTACGCAAATTCCCAAGACCATTCCAGCTCTCTCAAACAGCTAGAGAGTGCTTGTCAAGAAACAGAAGTTCATCAAAACACATTTAACCACATGTGGTTTGCCAGCAAATCCCTTAGTTGGACACGTGTAATTCTACTAAGACTCCAAAACATGGCTACCATGAACCTAAAATCCTCACAGTAATAAGGCCAGTAAATTGATGGTATCACGTTCAGATTTTCTCTAAATCCAATCCATTTTGGTGAAAAGGTCCTGACAAGACTTACATTAATAAAACACTTATGGCCAAATGCATCAAACTGTGCTTCAATATGCCCCCATAAAACCTCTGAATTTGCTCCATTACGATGCATGTTTGTCAAACAAGTACATTGGCAACTTTGAAATATTATAATTCTAGGCATGTGTGGTCTTATTGCATAGCAGTGGAAACCGGCTAATTTTCACTTTTCAACCCAAAACATAAAACATTGAAACTTGTGTTGTATAACTGTACTATTTACATGGTTGGTTTCAATTTTGGTTCAGTCAGTGGGTACAAATGAGCCAAACTTATTAAAACGGAGACAAGTTTAAAAACCACAATGTGTCTGTGAACGTGAATTTAGAAACCCTCCAACATGTGCAACATATTTCTGACTTTATTAAGCTTTGTTGAAGTAAACAGCAGGACACCCCTCACCCCTTTGCTTCCCGGCATGAGGTAGGTTTCATTTGATCAGCTTCTTTACAGAGTTGGTGTGGAAGAAGAAAGACATGAAAAGCTGGTCTAGTCGCTGATATACTCGCTTCTGATGGTGGTTAAGGTGAAGTGAAGGACTGCACTGAAAGTGTCTGATTTTTATTATTTCATGAGGCCAATTGTTTCTCTGAAAGCCTTTTTTTTTGCTGCAGCAGTGTATCTGTTTTTTTTTTTTCAAACTTTCATTCATGTTCAAGTTAAATAATTCTACATGTCAAGACCCAATAAAAAATACATATAATGTGGTCCTTACTAAGTAAAAGAAAAAGGAAAATACAGATAAATAAAACACACTGAGGACCAAACTGTCATTATCTATTCAACAAACAACTTTCAAAATGTGTGTGAAGAAGTGGTGCGTGAAATTGTTGTTCACTCTAGCCAGGTCCATTAGCTTGAATTAGATTAGCAATCACACGGACATGTCATCTGAAAGTGTGACCATGAGACAATATTGAAGCTACACTTGTATAAGAGGTGCTACAAAACAAGTCATTTTGAGGATTTTGACCACTTCAAAACCTGTCTGAAGTGTGAGGCTTGAAATAGAGGAGCAGCTAGGCTTTAGTGTCTCTCTAAATGGTCCTTGAGGAACTTGACCGGATTTAAATTTCTTTATTCGAGGTACACGTTCCGTTATTAAAGGAGTTATTGTGATCATCAAGGATGCTGTGCTAAATACATTTAGGCAATTACTTGAAACAGATCGATCACATATTACATTTGAATGGGAAGTCATTGTATCAATGTTATTTACAATTTGTTACATATACAATCATTTTTCAAAAGTTTAAAGCTGTTGAGGAAATAGAGTATACAGTAGAGTATAGTCATTCTTGCTTATTAATATATTTAATTAAGAGAAAACATCCCTTATTTATTCATCTTTGCTAGGTCAAAAATAATGTAAGTTCCTCTATCACCTTTGTCTCATTGTCATTTCATCCATGAACATTGTTCAGATGTTTAGACAGATGAAAATCTGGTCTGATTAAGTTTCTATGATTCCAGTTAGTGTAGGCTATGTGTGGAAGGTAAAAGTTCTATGGACTTAAACTGAAATTTCTTGCTGTAAATTGTTCTCTAAGTCTCAAAGTGAACATTGATACGGTACACACACACACATACACACACACACACACACACACACACACACACACACACACACACACACACGCACACACACACACAGATTGATGACAGTACACACAAAGTCATTACCCAATTTTAGATCTCCTCAGGACCCCTGCAGAGCTCCTTAAATTATGAGTGCTTTCTTTTCTCCTGAAGTCTAGCCTTTCTGATCTTTTCAATCTCTTCTTCACATTTTCCTGTGATCTGTTTTTCTTTTAGTGTTGTTACCTATTTTCTCATCTCCCTGTCCCCTGAACCTCGTGGCCTTGCTTCCATACATTTCCAGCGTCTTGTCTCTCCTTGCATTATAAAGTGTTATAAATCTAACAATAGCAGATTTTTTTTTCTTTCCTCATTACCATCGTCATATCCTTTTATGGCAACAAATCACGGTCTATTTAACCCATCGTACCCAGAGGGATGGAGTGCATGCTAAGAATTGTGCGGAAATTAACTAAGAAAAGGCAATGTAATTTATGTGTGGACAAGACCGTCTCTGATTACAACAGCTATGATACACCAAAATTAATCTGTTGTTCATAGTCTGAGAGGTTGAAACAATACAGATAGTGCTCTGCTACCAAATGATCCAGAAATCCGAGCAGGAATTTTTAGAAATAAGGCACTGTGAGCATAATGGAAAATGAAGCATTGGTTTTAGAATATTTCATCAGAAAAAGAAAAGAATTAAGGACTTTCTCCCTTTTTTTTCTAAGGTTGGCCCCATCTGTTCCAGCTCATTCTAGCCCACATCTGCACTCGGCTGAAGGATTTCCTGTGCACATATGTTTGGCGAGACAAAGTCCGCACCTGACATCTCGCGTTTCGTGTCCAAAACAGCTATTCATTAATTATGGTCTTTGACCCTGGCTGATATGAATAATACAAGGAGTTTCAGGGTCTCCACAACCGCATTGTTAAATGTGTTCCACTTCAGGAGTACTTCTAATAAAAACTGTTTCAAAGCCCTTGAAAATGTTATCTTGGGTGCTTTGAGAATAGCGTACAAGGCGAGATCTCAGCTTCGACCTTTCATTCACTCTGTAATGTGCTACAATATGATCTTGCGGTGCATTAATAAAGTTGGCCGTGATGTACAATGGCCTCGAGCTAAGAGGTGACAGGTCTTCACAGCTCTCTCAACAGTAACTGGTTTGTCTCTTTTTCTGCTATATATAACGGAAGAAGGACAGGCTCGAGCACCCTGGTACAAAGAAGGTTATGGAAAATAAATGGATTCTTATCGAAATTGTTAGATAGCTGCAGCAGCTGTCAGTGCTTTATAAGTGCATACAAACCAAACAATCAATTTGCATTGTGACGACATTTAAGGCTGTTGAACGAGCTTTTGATTACGATGTGTTCGAAAATAAAAACAGCAACCTTGTGTAGTTCGTCACCTCAGATTTAGTGTGTACTTATCTGGTCATTATGTAACTGAAATGTGACTATAAATATTGGGCTGATGATTACTGAGTACCTCTGAAATAAAGTATTGTCCAAAATGCAGAGGCGGTGTTCTTCAAAAGTGGGTCCTCTATAAAGAAATGACAACTTTACATGGTGTTTATTACTATATTTAGTAAGTTAATGAAATGACAGACTCGGTGTGGACGTGTATTTGAATGGAGATGGGTGCTCCTCTGTTTTTCTTAAATTTGTCAAGCTCTGAGTGAGCAGTTAATTCAGTTTTTATGAGGAAATCA